ATTTCGTACAAAATATCGGACCAAAGTATTCCTTTATCGGCTCCCTTCATGCCTTAGACTTGTGAATATAGCTAAAGACACATTTTATTATAATACATCTTCAGAATAAGGTGGCGTACTATTACTAGCTTGTACCAAGGACGTTCAACGAGACGTCCTTGCTTGTACAAAGGGATTTGCAACTTCCCTAGCCTCTCTACCAAAACAACAAGCTGACAAGATGGCGACTGTCAACTTGCGACGCTATCCCGTCATCCATTGCCCGTATCGGCTTGACAAGCGACTTCGCGGTAAGTGTTATTTCTTGATTACAACTGATGACAAAATAAAATAACGACATACTCAAGCTCATAGCTTATGTTCGTGTCGTCATCAAAACAAAGAACATTACAGATGTATGTCAAAACTAACAAACACAGGCATAAGGGTAACAAAGTACATTGTATATGATAGCAGTTATGTATGAAATATAAGAAAATGATAATGAAGCGTTGTACGCAGGTAAATTGTAACTATGTATTACACGTCAAACAGGATAAGAAAATTGGTTACTCGAATATTTTGGTTTCTTTTAGAAATAATTGTACACATCTACATGTCGTCGTAGGTTGTAGGTTCAACCAAATCAATAACAACATAGCATGAAATAGAATAACACAACATAACATCAGGCATGAATAAACTGTCACAAGAAACAGATTAACATTAAGTGAATCTTCGAAAAAGGGCCATGATCTTGGTCTGATACAGATGCATAGCGTCTGTATGCATGCTTTGTAGATTTTAGTAAAGCTTTTGATTCCGTCTTTTTTCAGACCGCTACATCATCAAACCAAATAAAACCACCATAAGTGGAATTTCATGATCAGGGACGGACAGAAGCCCGCAATGCAGTAATCCCCGTATGTGAATTAAGCACACCGCACGTGCAAAGCGAAATAATTATGTCAACATGTGAGGTTAATCTACTAGGACGACAAACTGCAACCTCAACGCCAACATTGCTAAGGCTGCTACTTGGCAGGAGTAATGCCGACTTGGTGTACTTGCCCTGGTTAAATAAAATGAGTGAATGTGTGGTTACGGTGCGTCGTACGGGGAGTCACGTGCACGACAAGAAGACGCAATCTTTGTGCAACTTAGTCATGCAACTTAAATGCAATGATTTTAGTTGATTTTTTTTTGTCAATTTGTACCTTTAGAGATGTTTTTGATCATAAGATAAAGATCTACCTTTTGCACATACTACAAGAACTTTCAAGTACGAACATTAAGATAAATCTTAATATTGTTTCTTGCTCCGTGCATGAGATTGATATCAAACATTTTAGAAAAAAAAATCAAGATCGTTCTTAGATTTTTTTTTACGAAAAGCTTAACAAGGGCTTTAGATGAACTTCGTGTCGTGTTGAAAAAATTGGCATTCGCCTTACTAACCTGTACCCGTGCGTCATGATGAAGAGAAGTCACCATCTTTAAACTCTGTCAGATTTTGGTGTTTTGTCGCTGGTTGGAGAACGCAAAGACGCTACTCCGCTGTGACTTACCGTGTGGCGGAAGATGACCCGGCCTCTTTAGAGGTGTATGCGCAGAGGCTTGAAAACTTAAGGTAAGATGATTTGGTGTTGTTTTATTGGCCTATGCCATAGCTAATCCTATGGTAATGTAGGGTTGATGAGATTGGCCACGTTCGATGTGCGAAAGTTGCTGTGCTACTCTTCTGTACTGACCAAGCAGAGACTGTTTTCATATATTTTTCGTTATGCCAAGATACCAAAAGAAAAGCTGACAAACTAGCGCTAATCAAAACCGTTTGAAGACAGAAGATGAAGTCCACTTTGCAGTAGCTAGATTGTACTTTATATAGTAATGATAGAAATTATCTTTTTAAGATATATTGTCATATATTACAAGAACGTTACCATCTTTCCCATCCCTGACTAATATCGAAAAAATCATCTTTCTTAATATGGGCTTTTATCATCCTGTATTAAACAAACCCATTTCAAATTATATACTAGTACTTTATTTAACATCACACAGAAACGAGAAGAGGCCGAACCTCTGTATTAGAGTAGTTTTAGAGCTGTTTGTACTACAGACATGTATGTACCATTCATCTGTTCACCTGTACTTAGCCCGATACGCGATAGGGCATGAGTGTGTAATAATAAAGGTTATCTGTTATCATCTTACGATCGGTCTCGGTGTTAACTAAGCGGGTACGGCCAAATACCGAATAAGGTATCCTGACGTACCGGGCTTAAATAATACATTCCCTGATGACAAGACTTGAAGTATTGCATCAAGTGTTGTAAAGTTCGTACTTGCCAGCTACGCAGAGAGTCCTGGTTTCTCCTTGGAGACGAAACCTGGGTTTTGCGCCCTTGGCCTTGACATGTTGAGCTGTTGCTTCTTCTCCTGGATCGACAGGTAAGTGTTCACTGATTCCGACGCCTGACTTTAGCTCTAGACGGTAGGTACGGCGCGGAACAACTTCCCTCTCAGGCATTGAGTCGAATTTTACGATGATCGGATTACCATTTCATACGCTATATGCGGTGGACATTAACGAAGGAGAAATCAATTCTGGCATTCATGACACCCAGTTTGTCGACAAGAAAGTTGTAAGCTTCTTGTACCACAGCTTCCTCTGCCTTGAAAATGAAATACATCACCACATCAAAGTAAACGACAAAACAATATATATTTAAGTCTTGTCTTCATATCGGATCGGCCATCCACGTTCCGGCATGGCAACAGACATCTTTGCCCATTTTCGGCATTTTGACCACTGTTAGGGAGCAACAAAATTTCTTGCTTTTTTTTCCCAAACTAGGCGAACATAAAAGCGTATTGACTTGAAACTCGGAATTCATGATCGAGAGACATAATTCCGCACAGAACTTTGAAGGCGACACAGCTAGGACCTGTCCAGGGTAGATGATTACTAAAAAGCAAACAGGGAATATATGAATAATATAAATTATGACATGACATCGCGTGTTTGGGGTGTGGTATCTGCATTTCGCCCCAGAAATCGGTAGTAATTATATACATGTATAAGTTATATACTGACAGTAAATAGAAGCTCTGCTCTTTCACATACATTTGGTAGGGGTTATACCGCCCCTAACGGCGTGATATACCCTTCGGTCATTGGTTAGAAATTTTATAGGAGTAGTAAATGAAGCTTAGATACTAGTATTATGAATAACTTTAGATTAGGAAGACACATGGTATTAGAGTCCAGCGACAACCTTTCATATAAGGCGTGTCAGACTCAGCGTGTCAGCCCCCGAAATCATGGAACGAACTACTTTCTCTCGCGGAAGCGACGCTGTTATACGTACACGCATCTGTATTAGTGCGCGTGTTTGTTTGGTTAGTAACAAAGCATGACCTTTGACATCCATTGTCAGTATGTTAATTAGTGACGTCACCAAAGGTTATTATCCAGCTTGGGTTTAGTCCAGTTTGGTCACGCGTGGGTGCAGCTCCGATAGAAATGTTTCACTTCATCGCTCCCCGAAGACACGCTGCAATAGTATGATAATTCTCATCTGTTTTCTCTTCTAGTATGCTATGCTTAAGCTTTCTGCCTTTTTATGACCTTGCTAAATAGGTGTTCTTTATTTATTATTTGTTACTTTCAGGATTAATGTTTCGTAAGTTTCAAGGACATTGTACAAGTCTTACAGGCTTCTTTCCTCCTCCTGCACTCTGTTTATTTCTTTGTTTTGTATTTGTTGATTAATGTTTTTATTTGCGCAAAGGGATAAATGAAAACACTAACTGCAATATTTGAAGCTCCTTGCTTAAAGCCAAGTATTGATTGCAGCAAAAACGCTACGTTGTTGTCAAACTTTTGAATATCACACACCAGGAAGCACGAAATACGCTAGCGTTGCATGATACACCAGTTGTTTGACCATTTTCCTCCTTCAGTTTACTTGCAAGTGTGTAATATCTTATTCCCGAGCTATTATTGTTGTTGACTATAATAGTATAATACTATTGACTAAGCACGAGATGCGTGCGCGCAACGCCGATCGTAAATGGCAGAAATTGCGCACGCACAACCAAGGCCTGGTTTGGCTCTACGCGCGCGCCAACACATTCCCCAGGCTTACCAAGCAAAGGGCGCGCACCGCCGCTAATGCGTGGCGCTATACGCGCGCGCGCAGACAAGGGCCGATCTGGCAGGTTTCGCGTACCAACAAAATCCATAGTCGTACCAACAAACTGCGCGCAGCGCCGCTAGTGGGGGGCGTTATGCGCGCCCGCGCGCAGCGCCGCTACGGCGTGGCCACTTGCGCGCGCGCGCATCAGCGCGCGAAATCGACCAATATCGGGACCCCATTCCTACCTGTCCATGACACCTGAATTGACAGCTGTCTAATTTATCTGTCAATCACAATTCATGGCAACACCTAGTTTTTAAATAAAAGTGATATATCTTCACATAAAAATCATGTTATGTAAACTCTTTGTTAGGTGTCTTTGTTCTATAGCTATAAGACTATATCCACCATAATAAAATAACTTAGCACACATTTTTTTGACAGGAGACATAAATTTGCGGACATAAAAATTGTGAAAGACATTTGGATTATGCATTGTTGATGAAGAAAACTGCTAAATTGGGCTCCTATTTTCGTGCGTTCGTCAGATTCTGTACAAATAAACATTTGGCAGATGACTCAACAAGGCAGTGATATCAGACCCCGGTCAAAACACTTGTGTCCCCGGTGACAGACATGCCCGTAAATTTTACCCGGGATCAAACTCAAATAGAAATGGCGCGCAAATTTTTGAGGCACGGAAAAGCTCGATATCATACCAAACTAACCATAAAGTCGTCGGAAATGGAGAAAGTAGAGAAAGCTGAGGAAGAAGGAGGGTGAAGCGAGCCGAGCGCGCTAAACAAGAAAATTTTGGCATGGAAATTTAGCAAAAGGAGGGAGGGGGGCAGTCGGGAGGTTCGCCGGTAAACTTACCGTCACTGCGCTGGATTCGCACGCTGACGCCGACTTTGAGGCCGCCCCAGTCCATGATAAGGCCCTAAACTTTCTTTTCTTTCAATTCTGTGCAAACTTTACGAACAAAAACGCCGGGAAAATGTACGAAACACGGTCTTCTCTCACTGAATCACATCGGTTGAATATTTTTTTGAAAGTTTCGTCGCGCATGCGTGATGCAAGTGACATGCGCAAGGCCTGCTCATGACGTCATGTTGCAGTGCTGTTTACTCCGCCAGGCGGCGCGCGTGCGCGGTCGTCTCTAAGCAGCGGTGGCAGCAAAATGACAACGGTGGGCAAATAATAAAAAAGTAAAATTTTTCGACATCAAATATCAGAACAAAGCAAAGGTTTATAAAATTGATAGTGAATAAAACACAAGACATTGTAGAAAGTAAATTATTCGCAATAAATGACAATTTATTGGGCAGATCAGATTTTTGATGTGATCTGGCAAACCTGTTGGATTAGTTGTCGTTCTACTAAGTGTCGCTAGAGGGCACTTTTGAACAGTGTACTAGTACCAGATACTGAGGTCAGACGTGAAAGACGAAAGTTCAGCTGTCTGGTTTGGGATCTCTGCTGGTCCGGGACTGTCCTAGAAGCCAACCGAGGCAATGACACGATTTAAGGTAAGGAAAATATTTCTGTGGCTTGACAACATAGTAGCAAGGCCATGGTTTGAGTTGTTGGCCCATTAAAGGACGTGTCCAAGTCTCAACCCACCACCTACCCACTGTCCTTTCTTGAGAACAGAATGGTTTATTATGTGGGTCTTGTCAGAAATACAAAAAAAAAAAACCCTTCACAAGCTGCCCCAAGGTTGATGAAAGTGAAAGTGACATTATGTGTCCGTCAATGTTACAACGTTCAACATCAATGTCCACATTACAACTGTTACTTGATAAGAATGCAGTAACAATCAGTTTAGATAAGTGGTTTATTGGCCAAACATTAGATCTCCTACTACAACTTAGTACAAGTCTATGTCTAGAATAAATTCGAGTTGCTTCAGAAAAAATGAACTCCTGAATTTCTGTCCCCAGTACTCCCACCAGGTCCCTCCCACCATGGGTTCCCCGCCGGCGCAGTGGCTGCCACACTGGGAGACCGGTTACCTGCGGACCGCCTGCCTGACCCTGCTGGCCATCGCTGTCATCCAGCTGGTGTTCAGGTTCATCCGTGCGTTGCTATGGAAACGGTACATGCGGAAAGTTCTGGCACCATTCCCAGGAATGCCCGCACACTGGCTGTTTGGTCATGTGAGAGAGGTACATTTGATTTCCACTAGTGTTTTAAAATTCTCTGCCTATTATAAGTCATGGAGGTACTCTCTGACCTCCATGCTATAATATACATGTACTGATGTACACATCTACACCACAATCATCCTTCACTGACAACACTCTAGAAGCCATGGAAGGGTACTTCCATTGTTTAGTTGTTCCTGTTTTTGAAATTTTAGTGAGCCTTAGACGGTCAAAGTTACAAACAGGAACCATGCAGAGGTAACTTCTTATGTAACGGTGGAGTTCACTAGTGCCACCAACTGACCAGTCAAACTGGTTCAGACCTATTCGCCTTGCTGTTAGAGTGTTCAATGAGCTCGTGGCCTGAGTTCTGCACAGGTTCAAATCCCTGTATGGGAACCACTGAAACATCAAGGGGCCTCACTTGTGACTCTTGTCACTAAAGGAATTTCATGGTATGAGCTAATATAATCTCCAAGCATATCTTCAAAATTGTAACTGCTGTCCAAGAGCAGGTCCTGGCCAATGAACTAATAATACTCTGGTGGTCTTATACGATCTATTCCAGGTACGACCAGATGAATCCGGTTTCACCATCGTGCCACAGTGGGCTGCCAAGTTCAAGTACGCCTTCCCCATCTGGATTGGGCCGTTCCGAGTGGTCCTGAGCCTCGTGCATCCCGACTACATCAAGGAGATCGTCAACTCACCAGGTAGGTCAGGGGTCAAGGTCAACTCATCAGGTAGTTCAGGGGTCAAGGTCAACTCACCAGGCAGGTCAGGGGTCAAGGTCAGATGCATGGGCTGGTGGGTCTATGCTATACTGATGTCATAGTAAACTCCTCATGTAGTTTAAGCCGTAGTACCAAGGGTTAGGATCATATACATAATATAACATTTCATAACGTAACATAAAATAAGTTTTCATAGAGGATTGTATCTGAATCTTAAAAATCTGAATGATCAATTCAATTGTTTTTTACAGAACCAAAAGACAGGGTATCATATGCTTGGCTGAAACCATGGATAGGTGAGTGGCGAATTATCATAGCATTATCAGCATAGGCAAAGTTCCAAATGAACAGAATTATATGTGTACGAATATGTTTTTGAAAGAATACAGAAGTGATTGTTGTAAAACTGTGTGCAGGAGATGGGTTGCTGGTCAGTGAGGGACAGAAGTGGTTCCGTAACCGACGACTTCTCACACCAGGGTTCCACTTCGATGTGCTGAAGCCTTACGTCAAGATCTTCTCTGAATGCACCAACATCATGCTGGTAAGTGTCTGTATGTTCATATGAATTAATGGATGAAGGAAAGAATGAACAGAAAAGTAAGAACACCAGGCACTCTCCTGTTTGTATTCTTAAAGTTTATAGATATTATGTTCATGTATAATGTTCAGTGTTTTTTTACAACATTCAACAGGCATTACTTGGCGCAACTGTACACCCGTGAGTGGGTCACAGTTTACACCTGTTCACCTGTGTCCAGGACAGGTGGGCAGACCCAGCACATGTTACACCTGTTCACCTGTGTTTTAGGACAGGTGGGAAGACCTGGCACCTGGCACACCTGTGGAGATGTTCCACTACGCCAGCGCGATGACCCTGGACAGCCTGATGCGCTGTGCTCTCAGCGTGCGCGCCGACTGTCAGCAGGACGGGGACAGGAGCCCGTACATCCGAGCCGTGTACGCCCTGACCAAGTGCGTGGTGGAGCGAGGCCGCTACCCGCCATTCCACATTCCTCTCATCTTCCACCTCAGCCCAACTGGCTTCAGGTAAGGAACACCTGTCGGTGGAGACACTAACACCTAGGATTTGTTTGTCAAATACCTCCATAAAATAATGGCATCATATGCATGATTTAGAATTAACATGTGCTCTTTTATTTGAGATGTAAGATTTGATAATGTGAGTATTCTCATGTCTACAACATTAATTTAAAAGTTTACCAAGACAACTCCACCTCCTTGTATCTCCTTGTGTTGTGAGAGTGCAGATACAGTGTGTGTTATGTGTACTCAGCAAAAAGTATGATGTACATGTATGACTGAAAAGTATCAAATTTTCAAAATTTGTTTTTTGAAATTTCTAGCAATTCGAAAGGTTTATGCAATAGATAAGCTCAGTTTTGTAACTTTAGATATTTAATGTTTTAGCCTACTGGTATTGTTTGGTTTGTTTGATTGTGAGCTAAATGTCCACTGTTTTTACCAGGTTTCGAGAAGCGTGTAAGACTGCCCATGACTTCTCTGATGGAGTCATCAGAAAGCGGCGTGCAGAGCTCCTGCAGCAGAGTTGTGAGCAGACAGACACAGCCAACAGCTCTGAGGAAGGCCCAGCCAAAAAACGATACCTGGACTTCTTGGACATCCTGCTGCAAGCCAGGGTATGTTCTCACTAATGTATCTTGGAACAATCTTGTCTTCCAAGTCTTCTTGTGGCAGGAAAACCTTTCCATAGCCATCCAGCAAAACTGTACATGAAATGTAATTGCGATAAACAACATTTTTTTAGGCAAAGCTGTGTTGTTTTTGCTATGTTTCCTCTTCTTCCTCTCCAAACCAAAAAGGTCAATGACCTGAACCAGACATCTATCACCATAGTAACTGTTTTTGGGTTACATCATGTTGCAGTTTTATAGTGGGAGGGATTTAGACTCCTGTCTCCATATATATGTAATGTAAATGTGTTTAAGAAATAACAGAGCAGACCATATGTGAAGGTAAACATTATGTATTTGCTTTGCAAATGTTACCTTTTTAGTTTGAGGTTTAGTTTTTTTCAAATGTTTGTTGTTTTCCATGTAGGATGAAGATGGGAGGGGTCTGTCAGAGCGTGAGATTCGGGACGAGGTGGACACCTTCATGTTCGAGGGTCACGACACGACGGCCAGCGGCGTGTCCTGGATCTTCTACAACCTGGCCAGACACCCTGCCTGTCAGGACAAGTGCCGCAAGGAGGTGGACGCTGTGCTGCAGGGGAGGGAAGAGGTCAACTGGTGGGTCAGAGTTCAAGGGTGGAGGACAAATGACAGTTTCATTGTTAAAGATACATGTAGGTCAAATATTATGTCAGTCTTAACAGGAAAAAAACAGAAAAAATTGGGTGCACATGCACCCAGTATTTTGAGCCCTGTTCAAGGACTAACAGGATACAATATTTTTTTAATTTTAGGGAGGACCTGTCCAAGCTTCCTTACACCACCATGTGTATAAAGGAAAGCCTGCGGATGCACTCCCCTGTCCCAGGTGTCACCCGGCTCACCACGCAGCCACACACCTTTCCTGACGGGAGAACCATCCCCGCAGGTGAGCACACCTGGCCACATGGCTCACAGGTGCACGGAGGGATGGACGGAGGGATGGATGGATGGACAGACGGGTGGATGGATGGATGGACGGACGGGTGGATGGATGGATGGACGGACGGGTGGATAGGCGGACAGACAGATGGATGCATGGATGGATGGAAGGATGGATGGACAGATGGATGGACGGATGGACAGATGGATGGATGGACAGATGGATGGCTGGATGGATGGACGGACAGATGGATAGATGGATGCATTTATGGATGGATGGATGGACAGATGCAATAATCTTTGATTACATGTATGATACTTCAAAACATATATTTACTACAACAGTTTTGTTTGTGTTCCCTGTACAGGTGTTACTGTGAACATTGGAGTACACAGTCTTCATCATAACATCCATGTCTGGGGAGACAATGTCATGGTGAGTTTATCAGGATATTATATGTGACAATGGACAAAAAGCATCCATAGCTTCAGGAATGCAAACTTCCAAAGTTACGACATGTTTGCTGTCACAATCCTTAGATGTTGATGACATGCTCTGAAACCTTACTGCATTCCATCTGTACAGGAATTTGATCCCGAGCGTTTCTCATCCGAGAACTCCAAGGGCCGATCTTCCCATGCCTTCATCCCTTTTTCTGCAGGATCTCGGTAAGGCTTGAAACATGACTGACATTATTGATACAGAAAACTGCCTTGGAACGTCTTGATTAAATGGAGAATCTTACTGTGCCTAGAGATTGCATCCAGGTCAGATCTTCCCCAAGAACTATACATTTGAGGATAGAAGGTTATTATTAAGTTCCTTGTAGTTTTGTGACTTCACAAAATTTACTTTCAAAAAAGACACTGGCCCCAGCCCTACTCAGATGAATCATATATACATGTATTGCTCGGATAGGACGTTAAATGGAGGTCCCGTGTTTGGGGAGAGCCACACCCTACGCATGTTAAAGAACCCACCACACTTATCGAAAAGTGTAGGGAATCTTCCCGGTGTGAGTGGTTCAAACCTTACGGTCTGGTCTGGTCTCAGGTTTGACATCTTGAAGAGGTGATAGTCATCTGTTATGTCAATCCTTCCACAAATGTGGTAAATCTTCATAAATAAATAGGTTACATCTAAAAACTAATTTCCCACTCGTGTACGTCAGGAACTGCATTGGCCAGCACTTTGCCATGAATGAGCTGAAGGTCTCCGTCGCACTGATGCTCCAGAGGTACCGGTTGGAACTGGATGAGACCAGACCTCCGTACCGGGTGGCTCGGCTGATCACCAGGACCAGGGACGGTCTGTGGCTGAAGGTCTACCCCAGGGGGGACAACTAGGGAGACCCACGTGGAAATACAATGTACAACACACCCACTTTATTATTATGCATGTATTACACATTAACCATGTATAACATATCCGTGTTGGAATACATAATATATAATATACTTATTGTGTACATGATGTACTACAATATTGTACATGTATGTGGAGTACATGGATAGTGAACTCATATAGGGGGCCTGCATGGGGGGTCTTGACAATGCTCTACGCTAAATTTTGAGAGCCAGCCAGTGAGTGAACTACTGGGGACAGTACTTTAAGCCATTGCTTGTTGTTCTTGCCGTAAAGACTGGGAATTTTCCTGGTGAACAGAACCTGTAAATAATGTACACAGTCAAGGAAGCATTGATGCTAGTGCCTTGTGGTTTTCATGTTTTGATCTACAATGTGTTACAGGGAAATAAGTATTTTGGACCGTAATAGAGTGACTTAATGGTCGAAAGTATGGTACTTAAACGCTTTTTCTGTGAATTGGTCCTTTGGAAGGTGGACAATTGTCATTGCTGCTGTAAACTCTGACTGTATGTAAAGGCTGTCTAGGTATAATAATAAAACTTTACTGGAAAGACGAAGTCTGTTAGAAAATAATATGCAAAAAACAATAATATAGATCAATTGTTTGAATGATCAAACTTTGATCAAACCTTGAAAACAATAGTTGCAGTTATGAAAATTCCAACATTGTTTACCTTTGTCACATAATAAGTTACCTTGACCTTTGTTGACATTTTCACCACCACACCTCCACCCTTTATACCTCAGTTTACAAATGTACATCCGAGAGCTTTTCTCAGAAATACGTCTACTATGGAATATTCTTCTTTATCTTGTGTTAGTAGAACTGAAATAATTGCATACAATCATGACAATTACATGTACAAGCCAATATAAATGTGCATGTATAGGAATATATAAGTGCACCTAAACAACTTCTATGATCCTCAGACAAAATACAGCATATCACCACAAAAATATGACTTACATAAAGCTAGGAATGTCTCCATTTTCCCCATCCTTGTCACCAATACAAACTTGGTGTCAGAAGCGTGAGTATAAGATGCTTCTTATGTACAAGTTATTGAAAAGAGTGAAGAAGTACTTTTGTCCCACTGTCCCTTACATTTGAATAACACTCATTTCAAAGTAACAAGTATTGGAAGATAGCACTCTGAACTTCAAGGATACAAATAATTTTTCTTGACAACTTTTAAGATGGTGGAAACATACAGGAATTAATAAATAAACAGCTCCTTTACAAACTAATGCTGCCCCTTTCTAGATTTTCTTCCAGTTTTAAACTTCACAGTTTTTGTTAGCACTGTGACAGACTTCTAATCTATGGCAGGTTGCATGTCCAGATAGTCTACAATAGCTGTGTCTGTGGCGTAGTCCTGTGGGACCTTCTTCGCCTTGTCTCTGGTCCTGGCGCTGCAGCCTGCTTTGACCAGCAGTTGGACCAGGTCCATGTTGTTTTTCATGGCGGCAAGATGGAGGCATGTCTGGCCCTCGTCGTTCGCAATGTCGCTTCGGCAGCCGCTGTCTAAGAGAATGGAGGCGATCTCCTTGCTTTCGCGTTTCACAGCATAATGCAGGGGAGTGTCGCCATCTATATTCTGTAGGATGTAAGAAGAGAAGGTTCAGTAGGATACACAATGGAAATTCAAAATGTTAAAGCTTCATTGTAGTTCCTTACAGCATCTTATAACCTTCTCCCTGCTGCCTAACCCTATAACCAACACAAATTTGGTGCCAAATGGGTACCTTAGCAGACTGAAGGTTAAAAAATTTGGCCACATTTACCTTGAGTGCACTGTACATGTATATAAAAACAATGAGAGATTGGCTTGGACGCTTAATATTAACATTCTCGACTTGGAAGAAAAATTAATAAAGGCATGAAATTTCATTTCAATGAAATTTCAGGGTGGTAAAGCTGGATTTTCAAAGTGAATTCTTTGGCCATTCTTTTAATGTGGTATATTAAAAGTTTAATCAATCCTATTCCATAGCATACTGATATCAAAAATGTGCTAAGTCAGTGTCATATTTTGTTTTACCATTCTGAAATTTGGATGCCTTTAAGGATGGAAAATTTAAGTCTCAGTGACTCCCTGACCTTGAAGTTGACCTTGGCCCTGCTCTGCAGCAGGATCTGCACCAGGTCCACATTCCCCGCCTCCACAGCCGCGTGAAGGGGCAGCTCAAAACAGCTGTTCGGCAGGTTGACGTCACTCGGGGGGTCGCATTCTTCCAGCAGTGTACACACCTGGAAATCAAATCACACATGGTCATGGGTATTCATCTCCACAGAACATTGTTTACAAAGCAATGGCAAGGAGGAAACAGTGTTAGTAACATATCATTTGCAGGATGATTCTTCTAAATTGATACAGGTTGAGGGTGTGAATTCTTTCTTAGGACAGAACTTCACATTTTTGCTGCCATTTATTAATATTTGTGAGTTTGTGGCTTATGGATAACTCATAACTTGACAATTTGTGAAACAATCTATATGATGTTTGGTACACGTATATGGGACATTCATGGCCCCCTAACGGCTTTCTATGATACTGCAGCAGAACTTGATCAGCTAGTTGAAATGGGCGAGATATCGCTGACCAATAATCTTACCAGCTCCTCTTTCTGCATCTTGACGGCGAACATGAGCAGTGTGTCACCCGTGGTGGGCTGTCGCCAGTTCACGTCTGCGCCTGCGCGAATCAGCTCTCGTACAATGTCCAGGTGATTCCTTAGTCCAGCCTAGTGGGGGGAGTAATTCAACAGAATAAACTTCAACAACGTTTAGTATATTTTGAGAAATCTTATTTTCATTCATTTATAGTGGGGTCATGTGGCATAACGGCAGAGCATTAGGCTCGGAACCAAGAGGTCCCGGGTTTGAATCCTGCCATGTCACCAACCTTGTGCCGTTGGGAAAGGCACTTTACACGACTTCCCTCACTTCGCTCAGGTGAAAATGATCATTATCATGATCGTTGGCATGAACAGAAAAACCAAAACCAGATTTGTGAGAAATTGTGTTTCAGTCCGTACCTGCCACAGGAAGTTGAAGGCCTTCTCGCCATACACACGGTCGAGTTCCAGCTCCCCTCGGCTCAGTTTCCGAACTTGGCCGAAGTTTCCCGAGTCCACGGCCGCCCAGAGTTCCTCGACTTCATCCTCATCGTAAACCAGCGAGGAAAGTTTTCGCTGGCGAAAGGCGGTCGGACGTTCCCCCATCTTGTGTACCGTAAGATATCTGAGGAAAGTTGAACGAAACAAGTCAGAAACTTTGATTTTTCATTGTACACGATCCTGAACCCTTTAAACTCCTCACCCCCATTTTGTGTAGATATCTGAGGAAAAGTTGAATGAAAAAGTTAGAAATCTTGATTTTTCGTTGTACCCTATCTTGAACCCGAACTCTTCACGCATTCACCTGTCTCCAGTGGTATGACTTGAACCTCCTTCAAGTGAATAGAATGCTATAACAAATTCGTCTTGAAAAAATAGACATTCGCGTCACATCCTGACTCAAGCAAAGGAGGGAATAAACGAAGAATAAACAAAGCATTTGTGCCCTGATCCATTGTCCTGAAAGGAATGTAAAGCGTGGGAGGAGAAAAGGAGTGGCACATACATGTATTAATAAAGGCGTGGGGAGTGGAGAATTTGTGTTTTTGCCTCTGATTGTTTATTCAACAGTGTGTCTTTTGTATTTTTATTGTACTTTTTATTACAATGAATATAAATAAATGATTTTTGAAAAAAGCTGGGTGATGAGGCTCACAAATAAAGAGCAAACTTTCAAGGCATTTCCATCAAGACCCCCAGACCAAAAAAATTGAAAATAAAACTAAACACTTCAATATTCTAATCACTTCCAAGCAGGTGTAGGATTTGGCTCGGTCTTAGTTGTTTGTGGGTGTTGCTGCATTCAGTAAGTCAATTTACATTTAGCATTAAAATACAGACTGAGACGGAACCTACCTCTGCTTGTGGATTACCACACTCTACTTAACAATTGACAAAAATCCTTGTAACCTTGCAGAAGACCAACGCAGACAATACTATCCTCACATCTAGCAAGTAAACCACACAAGGTCCCACCTGACAAGTCGCCTTTGACACAGGTGACACAGGTTTGGTGTGTAATTTTTTTGAGTAACAGCCGTAAATTATCTGGTAGTGGACCCTCGGGCAAGACGCTAACTAATGGAGTCACACCTTTAAGTTATACATGGCGTGCATCACAAAACATCCCTGATTTATGTGTTAGCCGAAACAGTTATGCGGGTCTACAACACACAGTATTAACCAGCTGTAATACCAGCAGCTAAGTTAGTAGCACCTGCGTGCATGTGTTTAGGCTGCTTTTACAAAAGGAGAGATACGGAAGGTCTTGCTCTTCACTCTCTATGTTTACTGCATAGATTGTTACAGATAGTAAAGTGGTAGAACCGCAACTTTTGCTGATAAATATCGACATTTAACAACCTGCGGACAAACGATGGCACACATTCTTGACACCTTTTTTTATGATACTACCACTAACAACGTGTGATAAATATGCAGCAGTGTGTAAGAATTCTAGCTTGCATTGCTTTCTTACCTTTCAAATTACCTTATTATTTTGTAAATGTCTCCAGGTTAATGCCTCAACACGTGTGAAAGGTGTGTTTGCTGCAAAAAATGTCTTTAGTTTTTAAAGATTCTGAGAGCAGCAATTATCCTTTTTGTGTCCAACACAATAATATTCAAGCAGATGTCGGGAGGCTAAACAGACATTTCTATCTATGTCAATAGCGAGGGAGTTTGTAAGTCAGGAAAACATCACGATTTTAAATTGCCTCTCAACATCTGCTTGGAGATTGTGTAATTGAATATAGGCCCCAGCAGGGTCTTCAAACTAATGACCTGACTCAGGGCCAGTCAAGCCGCCATGTTGTAACCAAGGACATCGTATTATACCTGGTTGTAACCTAGCGCGTAAATGCATTCAGTGTGATTTTTTTGTCGTCCGATTTTCAAAACCTCGGTCTGTTCTGTCACAAGATAGCTGGATGCTGTACAACACATAGACTACACGACAGTTCCAAGAATGCTTTGTAAACCCTGTAACTGTACAGTATGAGGAATGTGACAGAGCTGTGCAATAGACAACACAGTTTAGCTGAATTTTACGCATATCAGGAACCGGCACTGTCAAAAGTGCTTTGGGGGCTTACTACATTGTAGTATGCGTGTACTGTACACGTGTTTTGTACACAGGCATGGATAGCGCTTCTATATAGTGAGTAATTCTGCAACAGACTACGTAGCAAACTACTATGACATAATTATATGTAAACAGTGCTTAAGGGCAGTGTTTATTCCTTTCACTTAAAGCTTTTGTGTATAATACGGTCTGTACTAAAATCCTCATGTCCACAAATATACTAGTACTCAGTAGTACAGCAAAAAAATAGCAGGTGGCAATGGAGTAACTACGCTGTTCATGAAATCTGTGAACAGATTATACATTACAAATACTACGATCCGTGTCAAACACCGTACAGTATTACTAGTACTACTAGAACGATTGTATAAGACTATCAAGATTTTAGATATGATAAGTGGAACACCTACCTGTTGTTTTAGGCTCTTAACACTTTAAGATAATCCAGTATCTTCAGTATAAAAGGCTCGGAGATTGTAAAGAAGCACGTGTAAATAATGAAGATCCGTTGCACTACAACTTACTGTCTCAATGTTGCATCCTTGTTCCCAGAAGCGATCACCAGAAGCGGAACAAAGCAGTTTTTCCCCACAGAATGCGGCTCTGTGGATCGGAAATGATAGTGGATAAGTGCTAGGCAGCGCTTATTGGTATAGTATGCGGCAGTACAGGTGAGTTGCCTCCAGGCATAACGCCGACTGAATAGGGGTCAGCAAGGTGACACGTGAGGTAATGCGATTGTGGCGTGTATTGGACAAATCTCACATTCAAGAATTGGGGGGGAAAATCGTATGTTTTCTGGCTATTCCGTTTTGTGACAGACTCCTCAGTATCATATTTCACTTCGATCTGAGAGCGGAAAAAAAAGAAAGTGGTAATATACTAGTAGTTAGGAGAAAACGCCCCTTTTCCTTACAATTAAGGTCAGATACTCACTGGTATCACGTACCCAACACGTAATGCAGATACGTTGTCTGATGGGTGCCGACTGGCGTTGCTTCCTATTTCTCTACATGGAAAGTTTAAAACTAAACACGGGATATAATCAACCATATCACAACCATATATATTCTCACGCTCCAGTGACATGCTATTAAGGTCTAGGTACGCACTTGTCAGAGAGTCTATTTTCTGAGGGGGCGTGACATGCATGTTCTTGCCTAGAGTTGTAACAAGTAAAAAGAGTTGTGATGCCATATTCCTGCTACCATGGAGGTAGAAAATCTTTTTTCTACCTCCATGCTGCTACCTAGCCTGGTGCCCAGTCTATCATGGTTCAGTGGGGCGGGTCTTCTTCGGGGCTGACGGGGGGAAACTATTATAGAGCCCTGAAGACTTTCTGTCCCAACCATGATAGACTGGATACCAGGCTAGCTTCCTCTCGGCCATGCCGACTGGTTGTACTTCCCACTGCTAGGTGGCGCTGCAGTGACGGTCCCAAGCATGACTGAAGTTGTTTAGGCGTGTAATCACTTTTGCACTGTAGGCAGCATAGTATAGTATATTAGTATGGCCTAAATCCAGGGGTCAAAAGTGGACTTGGTAAATGATCACCTAGCTGTCAAACAAGCTTTTTGCAGTGGTCATCAAGACTGACCAGTCTTTTACTTGCTAGGCGAAAACACGGTGTGGTGACGACAGTTTTTCCCCAGCTTCTGCTTGTAACCTTCTCCAACATGAGTTCTGACAAGGTCGCTATCGTCACCGGAGGTACCCGCGGGATCGGCTACGGGACAGCCCAGGAGCTGGCCGGCGCAGGATACAACCTCGTCCTGGGGTACAAGGAGAACCACCAGCGGGCTGAAGGCACCAAGGCCGAGCTGGAGGAGACGTACAAGGTGCGCGTGTTCCTGGTGGCAGGAGGGACGGAGGAAGAGGCCACCGTGGACGCCTACTTCGCCTGCGTCGATGAGAACTTTGGCGGGAAGCTGACGGCGTTGGTCCACGTCGCCGGTGGTCATTACGGCCCTCAGGGGCGGCCTCCCAAGCCAAATGCTGACGGAAGCTGGTTCGCAGGCTGGGAGGCGTACGAATACTACCAAAACATCTACCCGAGGTGCTTCCTCCGGCTGGTGGAGAAGGCCGTGACACGCATGGAGGACGGCCGCGGGTACATCGTCGCCGTGTCCGGAGTCGGCTGCAACAACAACACGCCCCCAAGCCTGCCTTACTTCACCCCTGGCATGGCTAAATCCAGCATGGAGTACATGGTGAGGAACTACGCCAAGCAGCTGGCGCCCAGGCGGATCACCTGTAACACCATAGTCCCGGGAATCATCGACACAGAAGGATGGACGCCGGTAAAGGAGAGGATCGGGAACGACGGGATGGAGGGTATGATCAACCGGCTCTGCGGGATGAAGCGCTGGGGCACCCCGAGGGAAGTCGGCGGCGTGATCGCGTTCCTCTGCTCGGAGAAGGCGTCCTTCATCACCGGCGTGGCCATACCTGTGGACGGAGCGTTCCATCTCAAGTAGGAAAGCCGTAAAACAAGCCCCCACAGCAGGCTTATCGGTCGGTGATTTCATAGAGCCATTTTTAGATGGCAAAGAGTAATGTCGAAGTTTCATTTTAATGCGATCCGTCAGATGTAGCAATCAGAAAAGGGAACAACAATGAACCAATTCAAATTAGAGACAGAACGGAAATATTGACTAATTGAGGCACCGACCAGGAAGTATGATGCACGGTGCAGTCATGACACCCAAGGTCAACGATGGACTCTTTAGAATGTCCTTGATATAAACGACAATAACGAATAATAGACACATTGATACATGATGTCATACCTCTTCCCTGAAATAAATTTGTTAATACCGTTATTGAGCATGTAGTCTTTTCATTCCTCTCAATATGCTTCTGACGCTTCCGTATTTTTAAGTGCACCTTAGCTTGGCGTGGATTACATACTTCATAACCCTTGCTCCACGCACAAGAAAAACTGCCCTAGGGTTTTGCTCTTTGCTTTAGCAAAGTAGGTCACTTGTATTAAAGGAAGCACGGAGGCGTTAAATCATTAGCTTAAAACAGTTGTAGATCTAGGACAGTGATTACTGATCAAATACAGTAGGCATTTGGTGGTCCAAAGGACGTTATATAGGGTACTAGTATCCTCGGTGGTTCCAAAGTGTACTGGTACATATGAGCCCGTTATATAATGTTATATGGTATCTAACTAGGGTTGTTTTCTCAACAAAGTGGACCACGTGTGTTCTCGCGATCTACGACATTGTTTACTGACATGACAATCATCAAGTGTTGATATAATGAAACAATGGGTAAAGACCCCCTAGTTGCTGCCTAGTGAACTGCAGGGAAGGAAAAAACCCTTCCCAGTTATGTGTTGATAAGACTGACAATTGTTATGTAATTTTCTGGGGCTTTTTTTCTGGCTGCATCTATATGGGTCAAAGTTCTGTTGAACAATTATGATAAAATTCATGTCTTCAATCAGTACCAGTACACTGTAGTAATTTTATTAACTTTATTTAACAAAATCCCAAATCATGTCATAAACAACAACAAAATATTGATTGGTTATGTGGGAGATATGCTTAGGTACAAATATATAATCTGTGTTGGGCTGGAATGTTGAAAACAAGAGTCACCTTGTTACAGTTATTGCAGTACCAAGATACATCAACTGTAGCAATCCCACTAACTCCTGTAGCTTTGTGGTGCCCCTAGGTGACTATTCTACTGACAATTTTAAGAACTAAAATCACTTTCCAACCATCATTGGGTCCTGACTAGTATACAATAACAGAAAATCCTGTCTCCTTTGCTTCCTGATAAACATAAGACTATAAAGCATGACACTTCACTTACAGCGTGACAGTTATAACTTTGTAATATCATAAGCAGGAAACTATCATCAAAACCTATCATTATCAACAGATGAAACTTACCTTAATAATAACAGAATACTTCAAAAACCTACTATATACTAACAATAACTACAGATTTTTTTATTTACATAATAACTATGGAGTGCCTGCCAACTTGTGAAAGGTTGGGCTTGACATGCCTTCTCAATGTTTCACTGTCAAAAGTCTACCAGTCTTGAATCCACCTGAAAAAAAAGGCAACTTAATCATTATGCATATTGAGAATTCCCAGATCTTTTAACATGTTGTGCATTCAAAGTTCTCATTACATCATGACACAAGACAAGGGTTGCTGCACATACATCCTCTTTTGAAATCTAAAGAAATCACTTTTTTTTAGAAAAGAAATTAGTTCTCACTGCTCAGACACATTTGCAAGATGTCATTTTACTGATTCTACCGTTGATACAAAAGAGACTAAGCCTACAAGAATGGTATCAGTTATGGCCAGTATATATATATACCTCTCAGTGCCAGTTGGTGCCTCCTAATGATGGGAACTCGTCCGGCAGGAGAGCGTGCACCCTGCATGTGGGGCAGGTACTCTGCTGTTTCAGCCACTTGCGGATGCAGTCCACGTGATAGAGATGTCCGCACTCCAATCGACACACTGTGTCCGGAGTCATCACGTCGTGGCAAATGATGCAGTCTGCTTCGTCATCATTCCAGTTTGCGACGTGACGCCGCTGGGGCATCGGGGCGTTCCAGCCCGCCGGCGGGGCTGCCTGATGACTCCTCGCGCCGTGCCCCCCTCCCGCCACTTGCGGCGGCTGCTGGTGGGGAGGCCGTGCAGGTGCGCCCCCTTGTTGCTGCCTACTGAACTGCTGTTTCCTCAGCTGCCTTGTCTGCTCTTCCATCTGTCTCTGTAGTATCCTCTCGGCAACGCGTTGGATGATCATTTCCAGCGACAACCCAGAAAGCGAGCCTAAGTTGGCCTTGCGCACTTCTTTTATAACGTCCGTCAGTTGAGTTCGGCTGTAGCTGGGGAACATGGACGACAGCTTTTCCATGATCTTTTCAAAGCTGTTCTTGCTTGCTGCATTCATACTAGCCATGGCAGCTGCATGATTCTCCAACCTCTGAGCCTGCGCTCCTGCTGGTAGAGAGTGGACATGTTGTCCGTTTGTCTGTTGCGTGGCAGCGAGGTTGGGATGAGGCACTTGGACAGGCTGCAAAGCCGCTGCGAGCGGCGGGGTTGGTTTAGGTCGACTGCTGGCACCTACAACTGGAGCTTTGTTCACAGCTTGTGGGGGAACTGGATGGTTTTGAGTTGCCAGGATTGGCTGAGGTGCGAACATGTGAGTTTCCTGGCCACTTGCACTAGGTTGAGGTGGTGACGGCATAGCTTGAGGAGGTTTCTGCACAGTAGTTGGAGGGGTTGGAGCTAGGTTAGGTGGTGGTTGGGTGGGCGCTGCTTTGGGAGGCTGTGTGACAGGAGCAGCTGCCTGTGATGCTGGAGGTACTGGAGAGACGTACTTCTCGCTTCCTTGGGGAGACGGACCATTCCCAACAGCACCCTTAGATGGTTGTAGAAGTGCTTGTGGGACAGGTGGGGGTGGCGGAGGCATCAAGGGAACAATTGCCGGCAAACTCGACAAAGCATGACCCTTCCGGACCTGCTGAATGTGTTCCTCAAAGGTTTGTTTGCACAAGCCGACCTTCTTTTTACAGTCCTTAACGTTGTCTTGCCAGCCAGCCAGAAGTTGTCTCAGCTCTGCCACGTTCGGCTGAGCAGCGCTCTGCTTGGCGAGGTTTTGGACGTACATGTCTGCTTCTTTCATGGCGCGCTCCAGCATCTGACAGGTGTGATCTCGTCTGGTCACCAGGACAAGAACCTCTGCTTCCTGAAGGATAGGATGGTACAATGGTAAGTTGTCAGAGACAAAAGTGCCTCTGTTGCACTGTAACTTGATTTAGAGAAAATGCAAGCAAAGCAAAGATCAAGACCTGTCCTATCCTTAAGCATATAGAAATTATTTTCAACTCTGGACTATAACTAACCTGAGCGCGCCGATGGGCTGTCTGCCAGTTGGTGTCCAACTTCACCACGCTGTCCTCAAGTTTCACCTTTGCTGCAGTGAGACGGTCTCGTTCCTTAGACAATGCCATAAAGTCCTTGCTCGCATCCTGAGCAGCCTTCTTATGCATCTCTTCACCTTTCTTCAAGGCCTTCACATCTCCCTGAAGTTTGCTGACCTGTTGGCAGAGGTCTTTCTTCTCCTGATGCCATTTGCGGGTGCTGGCTTCTCTCTCTTGTGACAATGCGTTAAAATCTTCTTGGACTTTCTGGTACTTCATTTGCATCTCGACATAGGCTTGTTGAGTCGCCTGAAGCTCTGCTTCCATCTTATTTTTCAGCTGCATGCTCCTGTCTAAAGCTTCTTGATGCAGAGCGGACAGGCGATCCTTCTCTTGTACAACACGGAGGTAATCCTCCTTGTAGTTCTTCTCTGGTACAGTATTCACTGCTGTACTATGCATTTTAGGAGTGGCCTGGCAGGTAGCTTCCTTACACTCAGGCTTCAGCTGTCTCTGTAGAGGAGACCCGGGTGCTTTATACTGATTTTCTTTCTCAGCGTCTAGTGAGTCTACTGATCTCTCTGCTGATGTCCCTTGCCTGGTGTCTCCTGAGGCTGATGACTTGTCCTCCCAAAGGTTCCCACTGGCCCAAATGGCATCAGCAGTCCTGTTGTCAAGCTGACTCTCCCTACACGGCTGGACCTTGCCGCCCAACACAGCACTGTCGTCGTGAACGCTGTGAAAACCAGAGTCCACAGATTCTATTGTGTCCTTGTTTGCCACCATGTTTGCAACCATTGCGTTCAGTCCGCTAGCAAGGGAGTCCCCTCCAGAAGACTGACTAGCCTGGGACAGTGAGTCTGGGAAGGCCTCCTCTGAGTTGCTGTGGGCTGACGGGGACTGCGATGCAGCCTGTTTCGGCACACACAGCTGCGGGGGGGACCCGTTAGAGGTGGGCTCACCTGGAGAAGTGTGAGATGGTACAAGACATACTTCATTGAACTCATCCAAGGCACCGAAATTGTCCAAGGATTCATCATCATCTAGGATGTTGTCAAGGCCCGTGGCTTTCAGGAGGCTGGAGTCTGACTCGGGTGGATGCACGGCTATATTGTTGCCGGTGTCATCCCCACTGTTTGGCACGTCGTCAGCAGCACTGCTACTGAGATCTGGTGAGGACTGCAGGCTGTTGTCGGAGGGAGTCATCAGCTGAGGGACGGGGGAGTCGTCAGACATCATGTCCGGTTCAGGAGATGACCTGGGCGTGAACGTAGGTGCACAGGGGTTCAGAGGAGGAGTGATCTCTCTTTTGGGGGCTAGTCCAAGTTTTCCGGCATCTTTCAGAAGGCACACCATGTTTTCAGAGGCAACAAATTGCAGTGAACCTAGAAGGAAGGATTTGAGCGAGCCTGCGTCATCAACCAGCTTTTTGGCTTCAGGAGGAAAGTTGTCTATGTCTTGTACAAGTTTTGGGCTGTCCAGAGGAAGAGGTCCCTCACTGAGCAAAGAGGCAAAGAAGGAGTAAAGGTTTTCTTTGACAGGATCAGGCTGGTTCATGCTTTGTGACTGTAGAGAAGAGGGAAACGGAATACTGCCAGTCCTAACATTCACATTGCCTCCATACCCAGCCTCCAGCAGTCTTGCTTGCTCCTGGAGGCGCTCTGGTAGAGCGAAGGGGCGGTCCTGGTTCAGCTGATGCTGGTGGGGGATGAAGATTCGCGGTTCTGGCATATTTTCTGCATCGGCAGCTGACAAGCGTGAAGACGGCGGGTTATCGAACTTGAAGCAGCTTGAAGTCAACTCTATCTCTGCCGCCGACTTTTCCTTGCTTTTCTTCTTCCGCTGTTTCGTCTTTTTATCCTTTTGTTGACCGCCGCTATCCTCTTCTTCTACCTTGTCCTTTTTCAGAACATAACCGAAAGAACTTCCAGGCTTTACTGGTTCCAGGTCTTGTGGCTGGTTAAGTGTTACTTCGGGTGCGTCTTTATTCATTGCCTCTTCTAGCTCTGGAGAAGCTCTATCCAATACCTCTTGAACAAGATCCAGGTTGTCATTGGAATCTAGACTACTTTCTTCTTCTTCCAGCTCGGCAGGTGGCCCAAGCTTTTCTCTCCTTGCTCTTTCTTTTGCCTCCTTTCTTCTTGCCTTTTGAATCCTTTTTCTTTCCAACCGGTATTGTCCGCTAGCTTTCATCCGGTGTATGACTTTCTTCTCTTTTGGCCTTGGAGGGACACTGTCACTTTGCAACCTCTTTTTAACATTCCCATCTTGGTCATACATGAGCAGACTGATCACTTGGCCAGTGCAGTCTGGGGTAAAGCAATCCTTCAGGAGAAAGTCCTTGTCAATGACGTGCAAAGCAGTCCTATTTTTCTTGTAGCAGGTTGGGTGGAACTCCACCTTGCACTTTTCTGTACACTCCATCCTGACAAACCCCTTGAAATCAGGGTCGGTGAGGAATATATCACTCTGGAAGAATCCTGTGCACTCCGCATAGCGGCAGATGGCATCCGGCCGGGGTGGGCTCATACACGTGCTAAGTAATTTCAGCAACTCTTCCTTCAGTTGCACAACATCTGACAGCTCGATCACACTGTGGCTCCCAGGCCAATTGTACACATTTATCCTAGCACTGGGGGCTGACATGATATCTAATCCTCTTTTTATGATGTCTCTTGCATCAGGGTACCTATTTTGTTTAATGTATACAGATCCAAGTCCATGGTGCGCTAGGGGAAAGGTGATACTGGTGTGCTCCTCAATAATGTCTTTGAAATGAACACAAGCAGATTGCAAGTCCTTTCCAAGCTCAGTAGTTGCAAAAGCTTTGCCAAGAGAGTACTTCAAGACAACTATGACCACAAGAGATGGTTTCAACAGCAGGGCGTGTTCACTGGACATCTCGAGAGCATTGCTGTAGCAGTAGATAGCATTACGTACTCTTCCTTCAGACAGGGCTATCGTGCCCTGGCTCATGTGACCCTCAAAGTCAAGTCTAACCTGAGTGTCTCGATCAACAGGCGGCTCTCTGGCCACTTTCTCTCGCTCTCGTGTTCTCACTTTTGTCTCTTTGCTGGCTTTGGTGGGTTTGGATGGCTTACGTGTTTGAGACGGCTTTTTGGGTTTGGGTTTAGCACTTTCTGCTTTGACTTTAGGAGCTGATACTTTGACACTGTCATCATCAGAAAACTCGTGATCAGAAACAAGGCCAGGCATGCCATCTTCTTCCTCATAATCATCACTGCTTGTTTCCTCATCGCTGGACCCAGGTTCCACGAGCCCAGGAACATCGTCAATGTCTGGAACACCTCCGTTGACGTTTTCTTTCCTAAACTGTTTCTGTCGCTTCTCCTTTTCCTCCTTGAAGCGCACAGCCTGCTGTTCAATGTCCTTCATGTCTGCCTTCATGGATTCTGATGCTTTGCAAACCTTCATGGCGTTTGCGTTGACGGCCAGAGCTTTCTCTATCATACCCAGGTGGAAGTAGGCCTCCGCCAAGCGGTAGTTACCTTTAGGCCAATCATACTTGAGCACAATCGCCCTTTTCCCGTCACACAGGGCGCTCCAGTAGTCGTTTGTTTTTAGGTAACTCTGGGCACGATTGCCATACAGAATGTGATTGAAAGAGCTGCTGTACAAGGCCTTGGTGTAACTGGATATTGCTTGCTTGAATTTCCCCTGTACAAAACACTCGTTCCCTGTCTTTTTGAGCCCTGTTGCCTTCTTCTCATCGACTCGACACTCCTCCTCATAGTCAGACACTGGGTTTTTGCCCTGTTTTGTGTATTTGTTGACATGGTCATGGAGCTGCCGTGCAGCTAGGAGGATTGCTACCATTTTCGAGTCTTTCTTTCCACCCTGTATGCTGTCACAGATCTTCTTAAATGGAAAGTACTTTTCTGCATTGGACACTGCAGTGGATACCTTGTCATAGTTGTAACTGTTGATTCTGAGGGAGAAGAAAAGCAACCATTAAAAAATCAACTATCTTTGAAATTTAAGAGATATAAGGGGATGGCCATGAACAAATTTGTCCTGAGTTACCCTGTCAAGAGTATACCGCTCAGTTACCGGACAAAAATTCAGACAAAAAACAAAATGCAAAAACTTCCTTTCATACAACATTAAAGCCTTAGAGTAGCTTTGATCCAGAAATTGTCTACACCCATGCACATAGTTGCCCGCGTGCGGTTGTGTGTAAACATCATTGTACACATTCCTCATGTCTGTAACGTCCTTATGAAGGCGAAGTCAATACACTTTGGTGGCGTAATCTAGGCTACAAAACACTGCATTAAAGATTCTATATAACCCCTGTTTCTTGAAGTAAACCACCCTTCTGTGGTAGATAGTGCTGTGTACCTAAACCCACATTTAGGTTCAGGTCCGGATTCAAGTCTAGAGATTTAGGTTCAGTTCCGGACTCGTAAGTCCAGACCTAAACCCATGGCATATACAAAATTGCATGTTGGCAACCTTGTAATGTTGTTTGGGCAAAATTGTGGCCACATAACATGGAGGCCAACCCTTGACGATGCCTGATGGCAATATTTTTTCATTTTGCAGCACAGATTTTGCTATCTATGGAAGGTTTTCTGAGGTTTGGAAAGAAAAGAGTATTTGACATCAACTTTTTTTAATAAGTCTGGAATCGGTTCTTGACTTTTAGGTTACAAGTCTGGAACCGGTACGCAGCACTAGTGGCAGAACTGTAGAAGTGAGATAAAAATACAATTCAATATTTGAGATGAACCGACCAATTTGTAAAGTCACAAGCTGAAAATGCTGAAAAGAAGTGAATCAAAACATACTTGTCAATCAAGTCGAGGATTTCAACCAGTATTCTCTCGTCAAGGGCACTATGGAGTTTGTCATGAGCCTCTTCTACTAACTCTACTGCATCAAAGTACTCTCGGGGGAGGCTCTCAATCTTGAACTCTTTCTTACTGGGCAGCAGACCGTGCTGGTATGCCCAGGCAGTCCACTTGTCCGGCTGGTTGACTTGCCCAAACAGGAAAGGTGATAGCAAGTTGATCTTCATCACCTGTGGGAGGAAAAAGGAAGAACAGTGGTCACATTACATGTGGAGAGACAGTGAAGGTTTGGAAAATTGTCAGTCAAATATCTTCACAACTATGATCTTTTCCTTGACACATCTCTGTAAATATAGATAGCATATTTTGGATTAGATTGTCCAAATCCCCAGTGTCTTTGCAAATCTTAGGAAACTTCAATCCATATTTGTTCGAATATTAATCATTGAAAATTAGGCTAACACAAAGATATCTTTGTTAACTGTCATAGAAAAAGACATACACATGTACATATAAATAATGCAGCTGGATAAATTCTCTTAAATCAAAATACATGTAGTCAGATAAAATGCATTCAATATCTTTCATCAAAGACTGAGAAGGTACAGTCTGTTTCTATACACAATTGCAATGTAGTTTCCAGCAATAGAGCTAGATCTATACTTCATAAAATCTACTTTTCCAGCAGACTGGTGCAGGTATGGTTTGTCTGGTGCAGGTACCGTTACATGTTACCTGCATAAGTACACGTAGTATGACCCCAAAGCATTTCATTTAGTCCTGAATTGTACTATACCTAACACGTCTGCAGAACATACTGCGCCTATGCAAAACCCAGATTTTTTTAGTTTTCGTTGGATGTTTGGTTAGCATTGCATTAGAATTTTGCCTTTTGCAGAAGATATCTTTTCCGACGTAACATTTGGAAACTACAGACGGAGTGATAACCTTATATACGCGAGTACGACCTTATATGAGACGTTCTGCTGAAGTGCTATGTACAATACATTATGGGTTTCGCGCAGGTGCAGTACGATCTGCTGACATGCTAAGCTACATACCTGACAATGGTTC